CTTGCATGGTTTCTGCTGAGAAATCAGAGCTTATTCTTACTGGCTGTCCTTTGTAGGTAACTTTTTGTTTTTCCTGTCCTGCTTTTAGGATTCTGTCTTTGTCTTTGGTTTTGATGAGTTTGATGATGATGTGTGTTGGTGATTTTCTTTTGGGGTCTGTCCTGTTTGGGGTTCATTGGACTTCCTGAATGGATATATTGTCCTTTTCATCATATCAGGGAAGTTCTCCTCCAGTAAATATTGGACAATTTTCTCAGTTGTTTTGTTTTTCTCTTCCTGTTCTGGAATTCCAATGACATGTAAGTTATTCCTTTTGATGGTATCCCACATGATCCTTAGGCCTTCTTCATTTTGTTTTGATTTTTTTTTCTGATTGATTGCTTTCCAAAGAAGTATTCATGTATTTGTCTTCAATCTCATTAATTCTGTCTTCCATTGCATCAATTGTACTCCTTTGCTCTTCCAATGTGTTATCTATTTCTGATGATTTAGTATTAATCTTCTGGATTTCTGTCTGTAGATTTAGAATCATTTCTAATTTTTCATTTATTTTGTCATTTTGTTATTGCATTTTCTTCCAAAATTCTTCTAAGGTTTTTTTTCTGTGTTTTCTTTGGTCTGTCTCTCAATTCTTTGAAGATACCTAAATATAATTCTTTTGAATTCCTTATCAGAGAGTTCCAATGCTGCTTCTTCCTCAGGGATGTGTTCTGGGTTTGTATCCTTCTCCCTAGTTTCCACCACTTTATCCTGCCTCTTTGTGTAGATTGTGATGGTCTGTTGTCTCTGAGGCATCATGACGTTGTTGCATTTAGATCTCTGTTAACTGTTTGTGAAGAGCAGCCAAGGGTGATTCAGGGTCTTCTTGGTGTTTGTTTATTGTTTTCCCATTAGTGGAGAAGGAGGTAGTGGCTCTCGCTCAGTAAGTGAAGTTGCAGGAGGTGTGGGTATAGTTGTGTCTTATGGGGACCATTGCTGTCTCCCACTCTGTTAGACAAAAATTACAATTGAATAACCATCAAAAAACTAAATGTACATGGACCAAAAACATACCATGTAGTCACACAGGAATAGTAACCAAAAAAAGTAAAAAGGGGAAAAGAAGAAGAAAAAATAAGACAACCTGAAATATCCGGGGATAGGGTACTAAGAGAAAAAAGGTAGGGAATGTGAATTATGAAGGGAATAAAATGGGAAAAATGCAAAAAGAAAAATAAGGAATGGGGTTAACCATGAGAAAAGAGGGGAAAAACAAAATTTTCAATCAGGAACAGGAAAGAGAAAAACATGCTGAAAACTAGGACCTGGAAGGGGAAGATTAAGAATAATAGTAAAAAGAACAAAAGTATTAATAATAATAGTTGTTTTAAAACAGACAAATACAAGCAAACTAATCATCAGAAAAAAGAAAGTGAAAAAGAAAAAAATAAAAAGAAAAAGAGAAAAAAAGATTGTGGAGGACAGGGCAGGGCATGCAGGCTCCGTCTGAGCACACAGACTGTGACGGAGTTCCTGTGGGCCCAGAAGGTAGGTGGGAGTGGGGGATGGCCACACCTCCGTTCACCAAGTGGGTGTAGGGTATAAGAGTAACAAGAGTAATGTGGTACCTTTTCAGTCTTACAGGTCCAGAGTGTCCTTGTGGTTGCTGGAGAGCAGAACGTGTTCTTAAGCCCCAAGAATCTGCGAGAGTGCTGTCTCTTTAAATATCCAAAATAGTCAAGCTGCTTTTAAACATTCAAAATGGCGACACCCTCCAGACACAGAAGTCCACAGCTCAGCCGCCTTTCTCTTCACTTTCTCCGTTTATTCACCAGCCACCAGAGCAGTCCTCTGTGTAGTCCCTGGCTAGCAGGGCTGATTTTTAGGTTAATTCTTAGCTTCTACCACCACTCAGAAATCTCCAAGCTCTCTGTGCCAGGCCATCAGGATTGCTCAGGATCGCTGCCAGACTGCAACTCTGTCTGTCTCCTTTTTTGCTCTTTTCATGGAAATTCTTCTGTGAGTTGGGGTTTATTCCACTTCTGTATCCTTACCTTCAAGGTTCAGGGGTCCAGGATTATCTTCTGTGTCTGTGTTAATTGGTTTCCCTTTTCTTTGTTGAAGAGGGTCTCTGCAGTCTGTCTGCTTAGTCCACCATCTTACCGGAACTCTGTCTCTATTTCATTGATTTCTGCTCGAATCTTTATGATTTCCTTTCTTCTGGTGACTGTAGGCTTTTCTTGCTGTTCTTTTTCTAATAGTTTGAGATGTTAGTTTAAGGTGTTGATTTTGGCTCTTTTTTCTTTTTTGATGTGTGCTTTTATTACTGTACTTTGGTCTCTGATCATTGCTTTCCCTGTGTCCCAACGATTTTGGTTGTTGTGTTTTCATTCAAGGAATTTTTTCATTTCATTTTTTTTGTTTTTAATTTCTTCTATGATGCTGTCATTCTTACAGAGGGTGTTGTTCAGTTTCCTTGTATTTGCTCCTTTTCTGTTGATCTTCCTATTGTTGATTTCTGATTTGATAGTATTGTTACCTGAGAAGGTGCTTCCCAGTATTTCAATGTTTTTAAATTTATTAAGGCTTGCTTTTAGCCTAATACATGGTGTGTCATAGAGAATGTTCTGTATGCACTGGAAAAGAATGTATATTATACTGTTGTTGGGTGAAGTGCTCTGTAGTGTCTATAAGTTGAAGTTGGTGGATTGTATTGTTTAGCTCTTCTGCAACTTTTTTGAGTTTCTTTCCAATTGTTCTATCTTTCATTGAAAGTGGTTTATTAACGTCAGTAATTCATTTAAAATGATATTCATTCTGTATATTGAAAACTGTGTTAAGCTGTTTACTGTGGGTTAGTAAATAAGTACAAGTAATCTCTTGCTTACCTTATTTATTGGGTAATCCACCCCTGTGTACCTCTGTCATCACCAAATACCTGATGAAAATTAGAGGGAAGTAGAAGTGAGGAGGAGTCCCTGGGTGGTGCAGATGGTTAAAGCACTGAGTTGCTGTGGTGGTTATGTTTGTGTGTCAACTTGACTGGGCCTGGTTGAGTGGCTGGGCAGCTGCTTGTAGTTATTCCCCATGATAAGACTGGTAATCAACTCCATGGTGAGATCTACCACAAGCAGCTGAGTAGCTGCCTTAGGGAATGTGGTCTGCTTCCTATATATAAGCAGAAGCCTTGGGGAATGCTCTCTGGCTAATGGCATGCTTGGACCCTGCATGTAGCTGTGTCATTGTTCAGCAGCCTGCTATGCTCTGCCGACCTTGGGACTTACAATGGACTTGAATGAATGGCCTGCCACGTGGTTTGGTAACATCGGGATTGTGCCTTTTTACTTGTCAACCTTGGGCTTGTCAGCCTCAGCAGTCAGCAGCTGTCTGAATGAAGAAACATCCCTAGCTCCAGTGGGCTGGAAGCAGGAGGGCAGAGCTGGACCCCAAGGTTGAGGGGCTTTCATCCAGCCCCTAGAGCCTGGCACTTGGAACTCGGACTTCTAGCCTCCCAAACTGTAAGAGAATAAACTCCTGTTTGTTAAGGCCTTCCCACTTGTGGTATATTCTTGTCAGAGCAGCACTAGGTAACCAGAACATTTGCTAACCAAAAGTTTGGTTGTTTGAATCCTTCCATGGCTCCTCAGAAAATCATCCATTGAAACACCTCTGAGCACAGTTTTACTCTGACGCACATAGGGACCACCATGAGACACATGGCAATTTTTTTTTTTTTTTTAGGGGTTATGGGAAAGCAACTTTTCATAGGCCCTTGACACACTCATTATTTCCTTATTTGAATTCTTTCTGTTCAGCTGGCCTCATGTTTTCCCTTCTCAGGTCTCCCTAGAGTTTGTACAGCTCTGGAAACAGAGTCTCTTCTCAGTCATGAGGACTGTGAGCGCTTTCTTCAGTGCCTCTCTGCCTAGTAGTGCTGGAAGAATCAAACTCATCAAGCGAACTTGACTTTTCAGTTATGTGAAAGATAATCCCCATAATTCCAAATGAAGAATCTCTTTCTGTGTGATAAAATTTATGAAAATATTTTATTGCCTTTCATTTTCTCTGATAGATATGGCAAGATTTTATGTTTGCTTGTGCCCTTTATCCAACTGATCAGAGCTTCATGGATTCAGTGAGTAGAGAAGTTGCTTACCAGGTATGTTATTACCATTGTAAGAAGAAAATACTCATGTTTTAGCTTTTGTTAAACCTTTTGTTAAATCTCTTTTGTTGTTGTTGTTGTTTTTTATACTGAATCCCATCAAAATTCACAGTCAGGTAATTGATTTGCTAGGTAATTTCACCTGATCTCATATCATCACCTGTATGCTGATGGCTCCTACATTTATCCCTATATCTTACTTCTTTGCTGAATTAATAGTGATTATATATAATTGCAAGGACTTCTGGTGGTACAGTGATTAAAAGAATACTGCTGCTAACCAGAAGGTTGATGATTTGAACCCACTAGCCACTTTGCAGGAGAAAAATGAGGCAGTCTGCTTCTGTAAATATTTACAGCCTTGGAAACCCTATGGGACAGTTCTACTCTGTCCTGTAGGGTTGCTATGAGTCAGAATTGACTCAATGGCAGTAGGTTTTATTTTGGTTGATTATACCCAACTGGCTGGTTGGTGCCTCCACTTGGAGGTTTAATAGGTATCTCAAACTTAGTATGTCCAAACCAAACTTATATTACCTTCCCCATATTTGCTTCTACTGTAGTCTTCCGTGCCTCAGTAAATGGCAACTTCACTCTGAATTTCTCAAGCCAAAAATCTGAAGTCATTATATTGACTTCTTGATTTCTTTTGCATTCCACATTTACACACTTATATTTATATAATAGATATTTAAATGTAAGAAAGTGGTGGTATACTAGCTCTGACTACTGAAAAGACCTAGAAACAAATCACCAACCTGGTAGTATTGAGCATCCTTGGTGTCAAAATTGAGATCCTGAAATAATCTTTCCCATTATGAGAAGGGCTTCTTAGAGAAATAGGTGATTCCAGGTCTGTGACAGGAAATACACGAGCTGATACTGGAACATCGTGGCTTACCTATAACAAGGAAGCTACTGAAGACATGATAAAAGGACTTGCAGAGACTCAGACCCACCAAAAGTGGCACAATTGGAGCTTTAATATATTAGGATAAGAATTTCAGTGGGTTGAAATCCAGTAGAACCATTTTATTCAGAGTTTGTTAAAATTTTAAAGTAAAGCTTCCCTTAACATTTTAAGCCAATTTGAAGGGTATGTGTAAAAAGAGCCGCTGAAGACGTTTGTCTCTTCAGTATTTGTGTTTTCATTTTCAAGGAATCAGCACAATAAATATTTTCATATTGTGGTAGCTGGCCTCACTTACCTGGGCATATACAGAGGCAAATAAAAGGAATGTTCTTTGCAAATCTGGTTTAGAAAAAGAGAAGACTTTAATTTTTTAAATGAGATATCTCTCATTAATCTTAATATATTCTATTTCATATATCTGAGTTACTTAGACATAAGGAGAACATCTGTGGGGATCCATTTTTTTGAACAATTACAGTGAAAGAGAAGTTATAAATACCAGTGAAGTAATATTGCCACAACATGTTCTGAAAGAATTTCTCATGACCATCGACTCACCCTGAGTTCTCATAGAAATGTAATTACAGTCTTCTGCTGGGGCAGATCTCCCAGTGTGTCAGAAGAAAGGGACATGTTTGAATCTGTCCCATGCGTAACAGAACTGGATCATTTTACCTGCATGTAAGGGCCTAGAGTGAGCCAAGTTCTTGTAGGCCTTGTGTCCATAGTTGGCAGGGATTACAGAGTCTCTAATGTCCTCTTCTATATTTAGATATATTCAGTAACTTGCTTACCCTTAGCTGATTTCTCAGGACATGACATTGATGGTTATTTCAGGAGGCATCCTCTTGACATAATCTTTTTACCTTTGGAGTATTCTGTTTGTCTTTTACTTCCACTGCCAACTTCTGTTCCTCTGAGTCTGATTTCTCCAGCTTAGTTCTGGTTCTCACTTGCACTGTAAAATCCTCTCTAGTTCTTTTGGTTTACTAATCTCCAGGAGAGACCTCATGGTTACCTTGATTCCACTCTCATTTCTTTCACACAAAATTCCACCTTTTGCTTAAGAAATAACCCCTGTAATATCATGAGCTCTGAGTCTTTGGAACTCACAGAATCCTACATTTTCTATTTCTTAGAATCTTCTTGTACAGATTCAGATAATGATCAGGTTGATTTTTTTTTTTTTTAAACAAAGGGCTTATATTTTCTTCAGTTTGTACATAGAAGAAAAGAGGAACCTCTATCTAATTTGTGTTAAACAATCCAGATAGAAAAAACCTCAGAGATTTCAAAAATGTTAAAATGTGTTCTCACAGCTAACATTACTAGCCATTTTCTGATTAATGAGTTTTTCTGGCACATAGAATTTATCTGCAGACATGCAGTTGACTATAATTTTATGAATAACCATAGATCGGTGTTTGTTTGTTTTATGCTGAGCATTTGGAAATCATTTTATGTTTTCTTAAATATCAGATCAGGAGACTAAAATCTCATCCTTCTATCATCATATGGAGTGGCAATAATGAAAATGAAGCAGCACTAATGAAGAATTGGTATGATATATGTGCCAGTGACTACCCAATGTACATCAATGATTACGTGATGTTGTATGTGAAAAACATCAGAAAGGTCGTCCTGGCAGTAAGTAATAATTTCTATGCAGCAGAATTTATGAATGTGTTTTTTAAAAATAGATCACTTTAAATATTGGTATAGTGTATTTTTATGGCCTTTTTTGGCATAAAATGACATCATTTTAATTCATAGTATTCTATTATAAGGCTGCAGCTTATGAAAATTCATGAGTTGTGAACTCCTTTGAGAATTAAAATGCAAGGAGGGGTCGCTATGCGTTGGATCTGACTCCCCGGCAGTGCGTTTGGTTTTTTGGTTTATGGAACTTTCCACACATACACCAAGATTATGCTTACAGTTGTAGGTTGTCACAGTGCTAAAGGGGCAAAGAGGCAGCATCTTCTGACCTCCTGTAGCTACACAAGAGGAAGACAGAATCACCATCAGCAGCCCAAGGCCTGTTTCTATGAGGCCAGACATGCTGCTACCCTCCAGTCCTCTTACTAACCTTGACACCAACCCTTCCTCCCTCTCTATTGGATATGATAATTTGCTGCAGTGGCCACACAGAACTCATAGATTATGGGGTTTATTAGGGAAGCAACAGGCTACGATTAAAGTTCAGAAATGCTCTCAGTCTCTCTCAGCTGGCTGTCTCTCAGCTGGCAGTCTCCCTCAGTCTCTCTCAGTAGCACATCTCTCTCTTAGCAGTGCATGTCTCTTCCATCTCTCTCTCAGCAGCATGTCTCTCTCATGTCTCTCTCTCAGTGGTGCATTTCTCTCAGCAGCACGTCTTTCTCAGCTGTCGGTCAGAGAGACTCCTTCTGCCTCTAGGAGAGCTCCTCTTAAGCCTGGCAGAGTGGCTAAAGCCAACCAATCCCAACATCAGAGTTTTGTACACCTGAAAGAGAGCAAACTTCTCAGAAGATTGCTTTGTGCTGCTCCAATAGAAATACACCAGGGGATAACTTTAACAATCAGCTACTCAAATGCATACAGCAAAGTGAGGATTATGAAGACTATGGCTAGAAAAACCATACTATGTAACTTACTACACTGCACACAGATTACTTAGAGCCCATCCATAAATCCCCAGAGGTTTAGAATCCCTAGGTTAGATGATTTATCATTATACCAGTTTAAAATTCTTTAATTGTAAATGTTTTTGTTAGGTGTCATCAAGTTGGTCCATACTCACAGCATGCTATATACAGCAAAATAAAACATTGCCTGGTCCTGCACCATACTCATTATTGTTGTCATGTTCAGCCCATAGTTGCAGCCACTGTGTCAGTCCATCTCATTGAGGGACTTCCTCTTTTTTGCTGACCCTCTCCTTTACCAAGGATGGTATCCACGTTCAAAGTACATGAGATGAAGTCTTACCATCCTTGCTTCTAAGGAGCATCATGGCTATATTTCTTCTAAAACAGATTTGTTCATTCTTTTTGGCAGTCCATGGTATATTCATTCTTTGCCAACACTGTAATTCAAAGGCATCAGTTCTTCATTTACCTTTATTCATTTTCTGGCTATCTATTGCATGTATATGAGGCAGCTGAAAATACCGTAGTTGCCCAATGCAATATGTCACTTGATTTCTTGAATGTTGTTTCCATGGGTGTTGATTGTAATTGTAAACACTAGTGTGGAATTTTATATATATCCTATATGACTATGTTGGTATACTACTTAAGGGGTGGGGCAAAAGTCAAAAGCTGGTTCCCAATTCCACCTTGACACACAACCTCTATGGTAGTTCTCTCGTCTCTGTTCTATTTGTTTAATAGCCATATAAGTTAATATACTATATAATAACATGGAAGCTCTGGTGGC